TCGGGTCCGTGTGCAGAATCGCGTAGAACGCCTGCTGCTCCGTGTAGCCCTTCTCCCAGAACGGCCGCCGCCTCGTCATGAGCTCGAAGAACGTCACGCCGGCGGAGAACACGTCCGTCTTGGTGGTGTACGCCTCGCCGGCCACAATCTCCGGCGAGCAGTAGCACGGCGTGCCGACGCGCGTCCTCGCCATCTCCACCGTCAACTCGAGCGGGCGCGCCAGCCCGTAGTCGCCGACGAGCGCCTTCGCCACGCCGCTGCTGCTGGCGCCGCCGTCGCGGACGAGGAAGAGATTCGCGGGCTTGATGTCACGGTGGATGATGTGGTGCGCGTGGCTGTGGTTCAGCGCGGAGAGGACCTGCATCATGATCCTCACCACAAGATCACCCGGCACGTACTCGTCACGCTTGCTGTACTCGCGGATCATGTTGTGCATGTCGCCGCCGTCGCAGTACGTCATGGCGAGGCACACGGCGCCGCGGTGCTCCCCAAAGCCCGCCTCCATCCACGCGCCCACGTAGCTCACAATGAAGGGGTGCCGCAGTGACCGCACAGCGTTGATTTCCTTCATGATGGCCTCCGCATAGCCGGGCGGCCACGTCCCCTTCCTGATCACCTTCACCACAAACCGCGACGGGTAAGAGAACTGATTCGCCTCATCCGACGCATTCACAGGCGTGGCAAGGTACACAGTGCCGTTCGCACCAGCCCCAAGAGCATCCGCGAGCACCACTTCCCGCCCCAGCACCCACTTCTCATGCAACGTCTCCATCATCCAAGCCTGCGACAAACAATCTGCTCCTTTTCCCTTGGGAACAGGACCTCTCGTGGATATTATACCTGTCTTTCTCTTGTTTCATACGCACATACACACAGCAATAACAGCAGGAATGAGAGACAACATGCAGCACATACGGAGGGCATGCAGGCAACAACACCAAAGGGATATGACTCCAACTGTGAGAATGATGGGAGGGGGAGCAGATTCGCATAGCTAGCGGGAGTGTCCCCGCGGCAGCATATCCACCAGCGCTGCCACCAGCTGTCCCAGGGTGCGCCCGCGACACTGCACAGGCATCAGGAAGCTGTCCACGATACAGCCAGCGTAATCGATCGTACGTTCCACCACTATTTGGCGTCGCTGCAAACGCTCTGCCAGCTGCAATCGCCACACCCCGGTTTTTATACGGACACCAGCGTCTCTCGGGAGATGCAGCCCAGTATAGGAGTGGCGCAGCCGGTCCAGAGCATGTAAAATATGTGGAACTGCTACGCTCAGGCTTAACATACTTGCCTGAGCGACCGCGTAGCGCCCTGTGGAGGCACAAATAAAGGCATGTGCGGCAAAGAGGTATAGTGTACCAGTGCTTCCTTGTATACCTCGAAGAGATGAAGTTGTCAGAAACCAGATGGTCCACTGTTCTATGCATCACGTGTAAAATTGTTTCGCACTCAATAACCGCTCTCCCTTGCGTGTCCTATCATTACGGGAGTTACGAATGAAATCAGGACTCCGTGAAGCACGCGCGAAGACCAAGGTGAGCTCAACACGTGAATCGCTCTCATGCAGTTGCAGTCTTTCCCGAGACAGCTGTTCCTCCAGTAGCAAATCTTGTCTGTATTTGTCTAACGTTAAAGCCATAATCTGCATTGCACAGCGACGGCTCTCGTCTGAAGCTTCATGCAGCTTCTCGCGCAGTCTCGCCTGGTGCTCCTCATTATGACGGTAAATCTCCTCAAGTTCGCCCACGTACTCGAGTAATGCGACGTTTTGGTCAAGCAGACTTGCCGCAGCATCGGAGACGGATGATGTTGGCCTGTTCCACGTTGTAAGTGCGGGGGAGGCGGAACAGGCGCTGGTGCCGCCACCGAGCCGCAGGCGCCCCTTCAGCCGCTGTATCCGCATCTCTTCCTCCGGCGGAAGGGTGCTCAGCCGCCGCCTGCGCTCCTCTAGCCATAGCTTCGCTGACGGTCGCATACCACTTCCACAGCAACAACAATGCTGAAACAAACCCCAGAGAAAAAGTAGAGCGACCAAGCACAGGTATCTGCTTACATTTGCCCCTGCCCCCCCCAGACTATTCTCCGTCACACCAGCCCTCATCTTTCCTCGACACCAGAGAATCCCCCTGCTACTGCGGGTGCGCCAACAACGCATCTAGCCGTGCCTGCAGGCCGTCCAGCTCGCAGAACAGCGCGTAGGCTTCGTCGTGGTCGACGGTGACGTCCACACCTCCTGGGCACATGGTGGTGGCGGGGAGCGACAGCAGTGACTCCACGCGATGTGCGCCGCCAATCACATCGATACCGCCCTCCACCACCACCACCCGCGACCGCGACGCCAGCAGCAGCGGCTCTGAAGTCGCCGTGTGGGCACTGCCATCGCTGCGGCAGAAGTCCGCGATAGCACGCCGCCGCGCGCATGCCAAAATATGGTGGCCATGCTTTACCCACGCATCAGCAATCACATCGGTGATGTGTGAAGCAATACACACGTGGCATGACGCAAGAAACTGCCGCACCGCGTCGCTATCCTCAACACACGCTGCACACAACTGCCCAAACAGAAACCGCAGTGCAGATGCGAGCATCATGTTGTACACGTCAACGGTGCCGTCGCAAGCGGTACCGTCGATGGGGCCGTCTGACTCGAGTGTGTCAACCGCAGCAGCAACGGCGGAGCGCAGTGCGTCATCGGAGGCACTGCTTAGCATCGCCGCGCACTGCCGCCACGTCTCTGTGGTTGGCAGCATGCTCCACCCTTTACGGCAACGGCCAGCACACTAAACACGCAACAAGCAAAGCAAACACGGTTATATCCATTTCAATGTCCGAGAATCACCACACAGCACGCCCCCAATATGCCCAGAAGGGGGGAGAAAGAAGGGTGAAACTACATGCGAAGCCCCACAATTGATTCCGTATTCTTTGGCGCCAACACCTATAAGGGTGCCGCCAGCAAGAGCCAAAAAAAAAAAGAAAAGATATTCGGTCCCAAACTCACGTCCCACCCAATGGCACACACACACACACAGAGAGAGAGAGAGAGAGTGGTGGTTCCATCCCGCTGCACCTATTGCCACCTCAGCCATGGGGCCGCGGTATCACACAGCAACACTTTTCACAATACACCAAACGTGCCTCCCGTTCACACGTAGCGGTTTGAAATGGAACAGCAACAAAGCAGGCAATCCTACAACTTCACGTCAACCGCAGCAACACTTCACTAGAAGAAACGCGCCAACGACGGGCAATTTCAATGCACACATACAAAAATACAACAAAAAGACTATGTGTGCTTCTGTTTTTTTTTTTTCGCAGGAAGAAGAAATTACGTGCAAACAACTTCACATGAGGCTTTGTTCTATTCACCATTATTTATTTTCCGTGTTTTGCTTTCATCAGAACTCAATCTCCGCCTTGCGTGCCTTCCAACGACCCTTTATCCGCCCCGTCAGTCCAAAGATGTGTTCCGCGGCGAGCACCCACTGCCACACGGCGGAAATCAGCAGCGGAATCAGCGGCCACAGCAGTTGTGCCTCGGCGCTGTAGATAGCACCCATGTTCTTTCCAATGATGAACTCTACGAACTGGCCAATCTGAAGGAGCCCAGCCACGCAAGCCAGGAGCAGCGCGTCAGCTGCGCCCCATGACGCAAGCAGCGCACACCGCGGGTACATGAATGCATACAGTATTGGTGCGATCCCAATTGTGAATATGCATGTCACCAAGAGCATCGATGACACAGACGCGAGCTCATAGAGTGTCATATTCCTTTCGTCCGGCTGAATAATGGATGCCACGCCACTCACACGATACCGCAGGCATGGCGTCACCCATACGGGTAGAACACAGGCGGTGACAACAGTTCCATTCAATAGCTGCAGAAAAATACATCTTCTGTCAAAGGTAAACACCCTACGAGACACTGTAACGTCTTCACTGTTTGCAACAAATAATGGCACAAGAGAGAGACTCTCTTCTGACGAGATCTCGGAACGGGTTTGGGCCTCGCATTGGCGAAGCGTTGTGTTGCGGCGCCAGATGGTTGTGGCAAAGTTCCCTGTGATGATTGAGAGGATAGTCGCCGCGAGAAACACGTAAAACCCAGGAAGTATGTTTACTTCTGCAATGCCTGCCATCTGTAAGCCACTCGCCATAATCACCATCGCATAGGAGTCAAGGAATGAAAACTTGCCAAAGTAGTCAACAATCTTTAGGATCACAAGGTCTGGCTTCTCAAGAATTAGTGTGCACACCAGGATACACAGCAGTTTGACATACGGGTACACACCGCTGAAGGCGAAAACAAGCACTGCAAGCGGACGCAAGCCCGCGTTGTAGAGGCTGCGCGTTGTCTCCATCAACGAAAAAGAGAGCAGCCCAACCTCGTCCCCCATTACCAGTGTCGCGCCAGTGGTGGAGTTCGACCAGATGAACCCAAGGGCAGTGACCATGACCAACAGTGTGAGCACAGCATCCTCCGCCACCACGCGGCGGAGGGGCACCGGGGTACCGTCTTGCAGGGTGACAGGGGCACCCCCCTTCTGGCGCCGGATGCTCAGCGCAACAACACCACAGACGAAGAAGACAGCCACCAAAACGGACGGAATATATAAAGCCATTGGTGGCGTCATAAGCACTGAAGGCGACTTCCGCGTGGGAAGTTGGAAGCGACCGACCGTTGTATTGCAGAAGGGCGCTGTCATGGAGTTGATAAGCCTGTTGATGAACGGCAGAACTATTGGGTCCATATCATTCACAATCACCCGTTGCCACTCGCCGAGCTTTTCCACGCGGAGGTTGTGTAAAGTGATGCCGTCATCGCATTGCAGAGTGCAGGAGTAGCCGGCTTCATCGCACTGAAGATCATCGAAGGAGATGTCTAGTGACACACCAAAGGGGTGTGGTACTTCAGCCTCTGCGCCACCGCCCTCAATAACAGGAAACACACGTGTAGTATTCGGCACAACACCCTCAATGTCGAGTGCCTTGAGAATCAGCTTCAGCATATCCAGCAGAGTCTCTGGTGAAGCACCAGGCCCCGCTGTATTTCCCAGCGATGCATGAAGGCCGTGAGGAAGGCTCATTCCCAAACGAACCGTTGTTTCTGCATCCACAGTGGCGTTGAGACGTACACCAAGCACCTCAGGAACGTTATTCACAATGTTCACAGCGGCGCGAAAAAGTGGCGAGGTGCTCAGAGGTGTCGAATCCTTTTTGAGAGCAGGGACCGGCACGGGTGGGTTAACCTCATGTTTCTGCAGCTCCTCTTCTAGACGGGGAAGAGCAACCTCACAGACGTACGGCTCTGCCTTCCTCTCTACAAAATCTTTAGCAAGATTCACTACCCCTTGCAGAAGCGCGTTGGGGGGCTCCAGCTTCGTGTCTCTCATCTTCACGTCCAGGCTGCAATGATCCTTTGACACAACGGCACACAAGCACTGGTCATCGGGCGACTTTCTCAACGACACATGGCTGGGGCTCACAGCAACAAGAGAAGTGATCTGCGAGTGGAAAACCCCCATCTCGACGTCGATGGAGCACGAAATCTCCGACAGCTCAGTCGTCTCCAGGGACCACAATGACGAGTTGAACGTGGCATTCGTCGCGCCAATCCGCACGTTCCCGCACGTCAGATTCCGAAAATTCACCGGTCCAAAGCTTCGTGACAGCTCGGGTAAATGGATTTCCGTGACGAGCGAACTCCACCAGAACACAAACCACAGGCAAGTCGAAAACATTGCGAACGTGCGCGCCCGGGCTCTGCGTAGACAGCTCAACGAGGCGTTGGAATATATGGGCAGATATAGATGGATGGATTTCTTTTTCTTTTTTCCTCGGCCCGGTGGGTGACAGGCTCCGACGCCGCTGGACCCGGCAGCTAAACGGCAACAAGTAGCAATATCACTAAGCCCCGCGAAGGCAAAAGAGAGAGAGAGAGAGAGAAGAAAAAAGTCCAAGAAAAAATCGGTCCTTTTCTTCGCTCGTGCTGGATCCTAAAAGAATAATCTCATCAACAACAGCATCAGGGGGGAAGAGAAGCATGGAAGTGGACGTATCATTCATAGCCGGAAAGTGTGAAGGCGAGGCACATACACCAACGACGATAAAAAAAAGGCCCACAGGCAAACATTACACGATTACGAATGGAGAGAGAAAGAGAGTTACACATCCACACTGATGTTCTCGTGTGACCGCATCAGTGCTTCTTCGAAGCCTTCTTACCTTTGCTCCGCTCATGGCGCCCCTTCAAAGCGCCACGAGCACTGCTGTCCTTCCGCAACAGTTTCACCGCAATGTCACGCACCTCTTCACCCGTCTCCGCCACGGAAGTCGGCACCTTACTCCGCTGTGCGTGAGCAACAGCAGCCTTGATATTCGCCTCTTTATTACTCTTCTGCCTAAGCAGCAGAATACGCTTGGACACACCTTCCTCCAAAACAACGGGAGAGCCCAGCGCCCGCTCCTCCACCACTGCCGTCGATACGGCAGCTGCGCGTTCCTCCTCCTCATGCACCAAGCGCGCCAGTCGCCGTCCCTCCTCCAACATGACAACCCTACCAGCAGGAAGTTTCAGGCACGGCTGCAGCGCAGTCTGCCGCAACAACTGCTTTGTAACAATACTACGTGCAGACATACTTACGGACGAAGCAAGAACCTTTGTGTTCCCCCCACAGCAGCCAAGACAGCAGAGGGGAGCAAAAAAGAAACAGTGCAGAGAGTCACCTCAGCCTCGCAC